CACAATCAAAAATTGGCTGCTGCAACCAATTAAAAATGCTATGCCATATTTAACCATTTAATTTGCTGCAGCAATCAATCTTTTTTTTCAGTGTAGCCCTGCTAGAGGCGGGATTGAGTCAGAGCGCCGTAGCAATAAGAATGGGTCAGAAAATACTGTGGAAGTGACGAGCCACGGGGTCCCTAATTTGACAAATGGTTTACATAATCGGCCCTTTTCAGGGCCAAAATGATGCGTAAAGTCCAACCAGCAACCTCCTCGCGGTACGTATCGGGTAATGCTAATGCTGGCGGTATTCGTTAAAAATGCCCGAATAACTTCAAAATGGCATTACTCGGTCAAAAAAAATCGTAGAGACTCGAATTTTTTTTCAAATTGTTTGTTGAAAAGTGCACTTTATAATGGTCTATGTGGTATTTTCGAAAAAAAATCGGGGCGATCCAGGTAGCACGTCAAACAATCAAATTTTTTAAGAAAAAAAATGCTTGGGCTTTATCAAAACATGGAGATGCAGCATCGACTTGCATCTAATTTCCGCGCGCGCGCGCATCAAGTTTTTCTTAGAGTACAGATAATTACCTACAAAATGAAAAAAAATCGTCTTAATACGATGAAAATTGACCGAGTTATGCGCATTTGAAAAATAGCAAAATTTCGATGAAAAATTTTGTTGCGATAATTTTGTTGCGTAGTGTAGTATACATACCCAAGGAGCACAATCTATATGGATAACAGTTATAGAAATGTTTATACGACTTTCTATAAAACTTTGTAACTTTTCTTACAACTGTTATGCAACTAAACAGTGCAGGCAATAACGTCGTTGAAACGTTTATGTCAACAAAGTGGGGAATCTATACGACTAATTTCTGACGTTATATTAACCACATTAAAACTTGTAATATACTACTGTTTTACAACAAACCGTTAATAGATATAAAATAACGTCTCAATGATTGTCTTAAATACCACGTACAAACGTTAATACAACTTTCTTCAATAATTATCAAAATTATTAAAATGATCAAAATTAAACATTTTTTTATTGTTATATTTTTGATATTCATTACGTTTAAGATGCCCCGAATATTTATACGCAAGTACATATTTATGAAAACGCATGTGGTTTCGACGGAGTTTGAACCTAAGACCTATGGGACGGGAATCTAACACGCTACGCTTGAGCTATAATCGCACGCTTGTCTCGACAGTTTGGAATTCAACTGTTATTCGACTCCTTGGTACCGAGCATATAATTTTTTCTCTTGTGCGGAAACGTGAAAAGTGAAAATTTATATATATAATATACATATATATAAATTTTCTCTAATATATATATATTAATAATAATATATACATCTCTAATCAGCATATAATATTAAAACAACATTTTTTAAACATTTATTCAATATTTTTACATTAAATACATTTTTTAAAAATATTTTTTAAATATTTTGCGTGCGTGCGTGCGTGCGTGTGTGTGTGTGGATCATTCTAAAGAGCCATATATATTTTTCATGAAAAAGCTCTTCGTCGTTAATAAGATTTTTCAAATCATCTTCACTTTCATCTTGGTCAGATATGGATTCAAGAACATAGCTTTCACATTGATCACTTTTAAAAGATGAATTTAGTGTTGATGATAACGGAGATAGTGGACTGTGATCGCCATAATTTAATTGTGTCTTTGATTTAAGATATGCAGTTTCTACATTATTTTCGCACGTTCTGCTTTTCTTTGTAGCTGCAGTTGTCTGCTGTTGCTTTAAATAATATTTTACTCTCCTGTAATAGCTACTACTATGCTTAAACACTTTTTTTCTTTCCATTTTATTTATTTAGATTTGACTCTATTAAAATTAATGAACGTATATACACAGATTAGTTATGATAATAAGACAGATTAATTATGATAATCATAACCTGCGACTTTACTTTATGAAGTTATATACATAACGTACATAAAGTTATAATGTACGTACCGTTTTATAAATATACACATTATTTCAACGCAACAACGTTTGTCTTTGCAGTTGTATAAATGTCCTAAAAACCTGATATTATGACTCAAAAGTTGAATTGAAATATACGGAGTTACATAAGCGTTTTAAAAACTTGTAATGAGTATTATAAGATTGTTAACATATAATAAGTCATATAGACGTTACAAAATCTTAAAATGAATACTACATAACGATTACTTTGTGTAGAGTCGTATGGACGTTATATAAATTTCTAATGAATATATACATATATTGACTAAATGTTATGTGTTTATATAGACGTTTTAAAAACTACAAATAGTTATATAACCGACATTAACTTTTTAGTCGTATAATTTTTTGATATGTAAATGGTACAAACGTTTTATAAAGTTATATAAACTTTCTCATAACTTTGTGCTCCTTAGGAAGTCGTATAGACGTTACAAAATCTTAAAATGAATACTACATAATGATTATTTTGTGTAGAGTCGTATAGACGTTATACAAATTTCTAATGAATATACATATATTGACTAAATGTTATGTGTTTATATAGACGTTTTAAAAACTACAAATAGTTATATAACCGACATTAACTTTTTAGTCGTATAATTTTTCGATATGTAAATGGTACAAACGTTTTATGAAGTTATAAAAACTTTCTCATAACTTTGTGCTCCTTGGGTACAGTCCCATTTTTAATGACGACCTTAAATATTTCTTAAACAACACATTTTAAAGAAAAATGTTTCATATAAAAGTTGTATGGTTTGAAGGGACGCAAATCATGGTAAAATTAATTCGTGAAAAAATTAACTTTTCAAGGTTACATAAAGATTGCCGTAATTTTTAAATGAAATTATATGATTTTTTAAAGCAATATGACTCTGCATATAATTTTTTAAAACAATATGATTCTGCATATAAAAGTATTGAGGCAGAGAGAGATATTGAAAAATCAATAGTTTTCGAATTATTTTATATTTTATTCTGGCACATATTGACGTGAAATATATAAAATATCTTTAATAAGATTTACTTTTATGCATAAAATAATAAGATGTATCGATTGGTAAAAAAATACATAATCAAAAGTTCAAAAGGACAATTGTCCATACACATCAAAAAGGAATGTGGTTTATAAGATTTCATGTAATAATTGTGATGCGTCGTACGTGGGACAGACGGGCAGACGACTAAAAAACTAGAGTTACAGAGCATCGTAACCACATTAGATATAATACTTCTGCTCGTTCTGTCATAACTGACCATAGGCTGCAGTATGATCATATTTCCAATGGGATAATGTTAAAATTTTGGATGAGGAACCGTGTTACACAAGAAACGTTAAACGCCTAATTTCTGAAATGCTCAATATTAAAAAGCAGAGCAATAGTTTAAATTTACAAACCGACACCGAAGGTCTCCACAAAGCATACATGCCTATTGTAAATAAGATTTGACTCTTTGTTACTGACAGTCCGTCTCCTCTCTCGGTCTTTATTGATCCGTAGTGGCAAGAACACATTACATTGTCGCACAATGTTTGATCTTAATTTTCTGCGAATAATTTGTCTGTTACATTTTATACATATTCGGATTTTAATTGTGAATATTCTTTGGACTTCTATCTATATTTATATCGAGGAATATCCTCAAATGGTACACATGGCATTCGGTGAGTTTTTAAGTTGTTAATACTTATGTGTTATTCTCTGTGATAAGACTTTCATCCGTCATCTAGAATTATTTCAAAAGACATTGAACATATCTGACTGCCATGCGAACGGTGTAATCCTACTACAAAGACTCATTTAGACCAGCAATTTAATATGCGTACCAGCGTAAACCAAATTTACACATCGTTTTAAGATTAGTTTATATCTGAAGAGGGCTCGATCCAGCAGCCGAAACTTGTTATATATGTAATTTCAGTTTTTAATTTTCTAACCAATTAAGTTTCGTATTTATATTTGAAGTTAAGATATTTGTAACCTTGGTGACTTAATTAAAAAATTAAATGAATTATATTTATATTTAAATTTAGACTGATTTTACTGAACCATAATTTAATGTATCTGACTCTTACGTTGCCCTTTATTTAATATTATTTAAAATACATAATTGCTTACAAAAAATATATATGCAACTACTTTATTTCTTATATGAAACTTTTTTCTTTAAATTTTCTTTAAGAGAGATATTTGATTTAAAACAGTTTCATATAAAAAAATATAGTAGTTGCATATTGCAAAATATATAATTTTTTAAATAAACAATTATGTATTTCTTTACATCAATCAATACATCTTATTATTTTATGCATAAATTATATTTATTAATTACCTAATTTCCATCGGCGATCATCATCCGTAACCATATCTACTTTATTTAGTAAATTGTTTTTGAACTCCTCTACATTTTTTGATTCTGGAAATCTACCGGCAATACCAGAAATAACGATTTCTTCACCAGGTTCAGGTATCTTGTAACCTTTCGTAAATAATTTTCTTGCAGGCATCGTGATCAGATTTTCAGATTTCGTCAATTTAAAGAAAAAAAACAATATTTCTAAAATAAATTATTAAAATATTATTTTATCAATTAAGAGAGAGAGATTTCTCAATTAATTCATCACTTATAAAACATATTTACAATTAATTTTCTTATCTTATATTCTTGCACCGAACAGTAATTTATGATTTGTTTTATTATAGGCAATATTTAATGAGCTTATCAACCGATTCTGTAAACGATGACTCGCAACTGAAAGACAAGACAGCGGAAAACAGCGAGTTTTTATAAGTACATCCCTACCTCTTATGAATTTCATTATTGTTACTTTGAACTTCCTTTAGACATTTGCATTACTAGTGAGAAATAAGTCAAAGCATTTTTTGAAAACCTAACTTTCTATTATCTTTCAAGTATTATACATTTATCAAGAGATAAGAACTTAAGTTTCACAAATAATTATAGAATAACAATGGACTTTTGAGCATTATTTATGTGCGTGCATAATGCAATGAAAATTATATACTATTTACGTTTTAATTAATACGTACATTCTTGTTAAATCTTTTTTATCAAAAGAGAGTGCTTTATTATTATAAAAGCACAGAATTGAATTATGACAATTTTATTGATACAATGCAGAAATAACATTATATAAGAAAGCTACAAATCTAGCTATTATCATAATTGAAATTTTCAATCTTAGGTAATAAATCTTATTAAACTGTACCAAGTTTTATAAATGTGTGTAAATTTAGCGTTTATATATTTTTTACATATAATTTTTAAGACAGAGTAAAAACATTTTTATTTATAAAATAATAATTGTTAAAATATTCTGTTTCACTTCTTTTCCTTTATGTAACTGATAATAAGTTATATTCAAAATTGATTAAGTTTTTATGAAACGAAATGTTGCAAGATTAATTTCAATCTTCACTATGCATAAAAGAATAATTTATGAAGACAACGAAAGGATATATTATATGTATATAATATATATGTGTATATACATATATATATATATATAACAGACTTAGCCAAATAAAAAGACACTGTTTGACATCAAATTCAACTATATAAGTATTACGAACAAAATCTTTTTTATAATGCTCTTTTCCTGCTGTTCGTATAATGAATATTCAGCACGGCGCAGGAACACAGAAGTCAAGGGTGGCCGGATATCACATCGGAATACATTATATATGCTATCATCCTCTATTAGTTACATTGACGTACGTTATGTATAAATGTGTTTCAATATCACGTGAACAACAAGTCATTTACTATTTTTTACAAAAAAACTGTGGCATTTTGTTCCAATAAAATCATTACATTATAAAAAAAGGAAAAAAGATAGAATTACTTTTAAGAATTGATATTATGCACTATTTTTTAGAAAGTGACATAAATCGCACAATATTATAATTAAGATATATTTTTATTGTCTTCACATTCGTTTTAAACTAAACTATAAAAATACGAAAGTTTCACTTTGATGTAAAAAGAATATATTATAATATTATATGCTACTAATACATATTAATATCAATTTACATAATATAATCATATAAGTACAGTTATTCTTCTTATTTATAGATAAAAATGAACCTTACACATTTATTGTAATTGTACTTTAAAAAAATAAAGCTTAATGTTATCTATAAACATTTTTGAAATTTGGAATTCTAATACGAATAAGTCATCACGTATCATTTAATCTTTAACCCTCTGATCGTTTACGATGCATTAAACTCAGTCAACGTAAATTTTGTTAGAACGTTAACAATTTATTTGATACGTTCTCTCTATTACGTGAAGTTATTATGAATGCATTTATAAATAAATAAATGTATTTAATGATATATTATATAATAAAATTTATTTATATATTGTAAATGTATTAATAAGAACAGGATTAAATGTACAGAAAAAAACTTGCCGATCAGAGAGTTAATAACATGGCAAGTATTTGAGATCTTTATTAAATGTATGTATAGCATATGTGTTTTAATGAAATGTTTAAGTTTTGTTAAAAAAGTACAATAACTTATTATAAATAGATACTGTCCTGTTTTTAACTAATTTGTTCCAGACGTCATTTTTGTCATAACTACTGTTATATATAAACATACAAAACAGCTTCAAAGCCAAGTAGCAATATCGAGATTAAATTAATGTCATATGTATATAAAATTTATTTTAGTGTTTATGCACTCCAGCGAAGTGTACTTTTTTCCCTTGTCCGTCTAAAGTCTCCATTAAGCTTGATGTAAAACTAAATTCTGAACTACTTTCGTCTTCCTGACCTCTGAAAAAATAATATAATTAGTAATCTGTTATAATAAAAAATGTCTTAGTTTTTTATGCCGATAATTTTCTTTTGAAAAAAGAGAAGACGTACAGTGTATCGAGACTTGTTAGACTGCCGTTCAATGTTGGCATACTAACAAAACCATCTATCTTCAATAACTCGAGGTAAGAATTAATAGTGGCCACATAAATTCCTTTTGAACCAGCTGTGCCTAAATAACGTAGACTAGATAATTCGATTAAGGTACGTTCAGGGCTCCTTTCCGAAGAATTATATGCTTCTGCATCAAGTTTCACAATCTCGACAGACGAGAAATGAATAATAAATAAGTATGGTTTGCAGAATGCTAAAATAAGGTAATAAGTTATGTGATTAATGTGCAACATTAATATGTAAGTAAAATAATATCTACCAAAGGAAAATTATATTTCAAAATCATAGGTAAAGAAAGAGCATAGGAGTCAAGCACGGTAATTGATGAGCACAAAAATGATTTAATCAAATCGATATAATATTTAATCTTACATGTTTCGGCTCATTTTTGAGCCTTCTTCAAACAGATGACAAATAACAATCTAAAAACTTCTGTACATATATGACCGTAGAGTCGATTACAATTCAGCAATGTAAGATGTACAGCATACATCGAAGGGAAGTTATATTTACCAAAATTATATTTACCAAAAGCGAATGGTAAATGATTCCACACTGGATCAATAGCGCGAGTCCTTCTACCATTTTCATTTACAAATACACCAAACTCATTGTAGCACAATAAAAGCTCCGCTGTGCCACATATATTGGAAATATTTAGAACGCATACAGGAAATATGCCAAGTTTTGCTGCACCCGATATTGCCGCTTTAATTGAGTTATTGTCTTCTTCTGGGAATTCTGTGAATAAATATTAATTGTTTTTTTTTTCAGAATTATATTTCTTATTCAAATAAAAATTATTATAAGACAATAATTAAAATAAAAACCGGGCTAATTAGAACTAAACACCGCTGTAATTTGTGTACCAAAAAATACCAAAAAAAAATTCCTGTTAGCAATAGAATTAATTTTGGAATCAACTTTTTTCACGTTCAATCATAAGATATACAGACAAAGTTTCGGTACACCCATGGGTTTTCCGTTGTCTCCCATAATCGCTGACATAGTTTTACAAGATCTGGAAAGAAGAGCTTTAAATATTTTAAATGGGGGTGGAATTGCCCTTTTATTTTAGATATGTTGATGATATAACTATGCTCAACATTTAATCAATGACATATTAGAAGTTTTTAACTCTTTTCATGACAGACTCAAATTTACAGCAGAAATTGGGGGGAATAAATTAAATTTCTTGGATATAACAATTATCAATAACAACGGTACCATAAAATTTGATTGGTATAGGAAATCTACATTCTCTGGAAGGTTTCTTAATTATTTTTTTGAAAGCCCTCTTTTCTAGAAAAAAGGAGGTCATTATGAACACTGCTGACAGAGCAATACTGTTATCACATCCTGGATATCACCAGAAAAATCTGTCTTTTATAATCGACATCTTTTTGAGCAATGATTATCCATCAGGTTTTATTTTTGACGCAATTAATGATAGATTAAAAAAATTTTTTAATAATCAAGTTAAGGAAGCCAATAACTCTATTGAACTTGAGGAAAAACAATGGTTCACAATTCCATATATTTCAAACGTTTCTGAAAAATATTTTTTTTAATATGATTAAAGATTCCAATGTCAATTTGTCCTTTTTTGGTGACCTTAATAAGTTGAGTGGAATGATTAAGGCTCAGAAAGATGTCCTGTCAATAATGAATAATAAAAATGTGGTATATGAATTATCGTGTAAAGATTGCGACGCGACCTATATTGGACAGACGTGAACTTAATACAAGAATTTCGAAACAAAAATAAATACGCAAAAATATCGAGGAGAATATACAGTTATTACTGAATATGTCAAATTAGGTCAAAAACATAAAATTGATTGGACGAATGTGGAGGTTCTTGACAGAGACAGATTTTTGGAGAGAAGACTTGTGTCTGAAATGATACATATTAAATTACAATTTAATGCTCTCAACCTTCAGATAGACACTGAATTCTTTTACCATGGATATACAGCGATTCTTAACCAATTCAAATAACAATGATGTTTTTAAAACAGACCATATGTACATTCTGACTTTTGTTAAAATGTCTTTACTTTTATTCTGACTTTTGTTAAAATGATTTTACTTTTATATTTGTTATCATTATTTTATACCATAATGATCTACAGCTATTGTAACACATATGTAATTTTGACTCCGACATGGACACATGCCTAACGATTATCCGTTAATTATATGGTCTTTTGCTGTGAAATTTTGTAATAAAATGAGGTGCATTTTCAAAAAACTGATGAGTTGACTAATAATAGTATATTTAAAATATAAATTTTCATTGAGGACTTACCAATTAAGACATAATTTCTCATTTAGTTCTTAACAATTAAGATATTGATTAAGAAGAGGTGTGCTTACAATGCAATGAGGCACTACTAACGGTATTTAGAAAAAGCACGTACATTTATTTGAGAACTGATGGATTAAATTCGAATATCTTGAAGATAGCTGTAAAGAACAGCCGAAACGTCGATTAATATATTGATGCTATGAATAAAATTGTATAATAGACACAAATTACAGTAGTGTTTAGCTCTAATTAGCCCAGTATTTTCAAAAAACTGGTGAGTTGACTAATAATAGTAATAGTATATTTAAAATATAAATTTTCATTGAGGACTTACCAATTAAGACATAATTTCTCATTTAGTTCTTAACAATTAAGATATTGATTAAGAAGAGGTGTGCTTACAATGCAATGAGGCACTACTAACGGTATTTAGAAAAAGCACGTACATTTATTTGAGAACTG